ACCGGTCTTGTGCCACTTGTTAGTTTATTTGGATCATGGAGGCTGACTCAGAAGAGAATGAGAAGACAAGGGAAAAAAGCATGTGTTGTTGGGATTTAAAAGCAATCACCCACCCAAAGCCGACAGAACCCCAAACTTCTGTACGAGCAACCAATAGGGGCTTTTTTTAACCACCTTGTATAGAAATAAACTGGTGTAAAAGGCTTCGTGGAGGTGCTGCCGCGAGCACCGTGCCCATGACGTGTGTTCCTTCCCGGCGCACCAGCACCTGCGTGAGCACCTGGCTGGGTCCCCAGGGGCTCTGTGAGCGGGAGGAGCTGGGGCGGGCGCCCGGGGCGCAGCGAGGGGCCCTGCCCGCGGTGCCCCACGGCGGGGGCTGCCCCTGTGTTGCACGGGTGACACCTCGATCCGTTCATCCCCTAGGGAGCCCCRGGAGCTCATGTGTATCTGGGGTGGCAGTGAGATGCATTGGCACCGGGATAGGAGAGCCCATCCCTCCCGTTAGTTGCCTGCTTCAGGGCTTGGTGTTCTCACTGTTCAACTCTCCAGCCTAATTTCTCCTCCTCTGAATTTGCTTGGCCTTGGCTTCCAGCTGCTAGATCTGGATACATCCATCCCATTGATTCAGAGAGCCTTGGYGCACAGCGGATGTTCATCCCCCGGCCAGGTACTTCCACACGGTAGCATCCCCTCTCAGTCTCCTTTTTGATAAGCTGAATACATGGAACTCCTTCGGTCTTTGACTGCCAGGGATTTCCTCCGGCCCGGGAATTATTTTTGTGTTTTCTCCCTACATCTGTTGCATTTTTCAGTGTCTTGTGAAAGTGCTGATTTTGGAAGCCAGTGTCCAAGCACCCAGTGCCATGGACAAAGTCCCCCGGCCTTTTGCCTTAGGTTTGCAGAGGGCTGAACTTGCCCTTTTCTCCTGACATGACATGGGACTCCTGGATCACCTGAACTCTCAGCTATCCATGACAGTGATTCCCCCTTTCCGCAGGTGTGACCTGAGCCCTTGTTTCACAGGTATTTAAACTTTATATTGGACTGTACTGAAGATCATTTTGTTGAAATCGCCCCGGCTTGCTTCTGGTCCAGGTGACTCACCACTCTGCCACTTTGGTCACTGTTGTTTTTTACTTTCAGATCCAGGTTGAAAATGCTACGTTGCATCTGACCTAGACAAGCTTGAAAGGCATTCTTCAGTGCAAACCTTTTCTTGGCTTCTTTTTGAGACTTGCACGCTAGGCATTTCTTAATCCTTTCCATGTGTGTTCTGTTGATTATGTACAGTAAAATTGTTGACTTTTGGTGCTAGGTTAATGCCTTACAAAATTTTACGTATTTTGCACCTATGCAGTCCCCTTTGTTGAACCAAATGTATAATATTGTCATCAAAGAATGAAATTAGGGTGTTTTTTTAAAAGAAAATCTATATTTCATAAAAACAAGTTGATAGTTTGGATTATAGGTTATATTTTCATTTATTAATTCCTCATCTCAACAGCTTTTCCGTTATTTTGCCTCAGACTAGTGTCAGTTTATGACATTGAGTCATTTCATTTGCCTTTTGGGAATACTGTTGTGAATGTCTTAATGGTATTTCTCTAATATCCCAAGATTAATTACAATTGGAATCAACGGGCTAGAAAGCTTGTTAGTTAAGTCTTGTAGAACTCCTTGTTGTTTGCTGACTTAAAAATATATATCCCTAGTAGAATCTGTCTAATCTTCTACTTTGATACCAAGGTACTGGAGATAAATTGGTATTTTCAAACTACTACCACATCCTGTTTCTTTCTGGTATTTGTTGACTGATTTTCCCTGTCTGTATCACTAGCAATTTCACCGCTTTTATCTATGCTATTGGTAAGATTTTGTTTCCTTTTTTACTTAAAGGAGTGAAAGATCGCAAATCCCTTTCCCATTTCCTGTAGTTGTGCTAGCCACAGAGCTTTCCTAGTCAGCTTTATAATGCCTAATTTATATTGCCTGCTGTCTGGCCTTCCCCTTTTTCATACATTATATTTTGGCTTTTCTTACAAAAAAAAAAAAAAAAAGTTTCTAGTTACTCAGACTTTCCTCACTGGACCCAGAATGAGCTTTCACACCGAGTTCTTCTTTCTTGATAGTGGAATTAGGGCTTTTTTTAGCCACACAATAAATATTTCTTAAAAAAGAATTTTCATTCACATTTTTTTTTTTTTTGCTCTCACAGATAACTTGACACTTTTGCTCACCTTTGGTAATGAGCTTTGTGAAGCACAGACTCTGTAGTTTTATTACTGCTTGTGACTGTCCTCTGCATGTCCATATTCAATATGAGCTGGCCATAATTGCTAACTTCCACTAAAGTGATTCTTACCTTTTATGCCCTGCATCGAAGCCCAAAAAGCTGAGTTGTTTTGGGTGCAGTATCTTGTGTTAAGAAAAAACATTTTAAGAAAACGTTTGTGTTAAGAAAAAAACATTTACAAAGCTGGAAACCTATCTTGGCGTTTGGCTAAATATCCGGGGAATGTCTCATGGGTTAAAACTCCTTGCGGAGTTTTTCCCGTCCTTGTGTTYCAGGTGCTTGCAATCCCCCCTCCTGGTCCCGGTGCGATGCGTTGCTTCCTCGTGTCCTGTGCCCTTTTCCTTCTTGGACTCGCTCACCTAGCAGAGGGGTCCATGTGTATTTTAAGGCGATGCAATCCCTGGGTACCAATAATTACCAGTTCTGCTGGCTGTTTGCGCCCTTTGTCCCTCCTATAGCTTTTACTGTCTGTCCAAAAAGAAACTAATGGGTTTTTTTTTTTGACAATTGGGCTTTCCCATCGAGTTTCAGAAATGACACTTTACTCCAGGCATTTTTTTTTCTCATCAATAACAATGTCTCACTTCTCTTTTTACCCTGATTGCTGTTKCTAGTATAATAATAGGATCTTGCTTTCATTATCGGTCACTTCTTTTCAGTTTGCATTAGGGTTTCCTCTTTGCATTCRTGTGGATGTTCGGTTTTACTCCATTACAACACTTCAGGTAGCTTAAAAAGAACAGTCACTATCTGCAGGATGCAAGATGTAATATCCAAACAAATGCCCCGCTAGTGGGATGAAGCCTAAAGTTCGACAATGACAGTTTTTCGTTTTTTTTCCACTCTGTACAGCTCAATTGTGTAATTTTCACTCACAGGAGTGGGACACTCGCCAAGGAGATGACACAGTCTTTCTACTTGGGCAACCTGAATTCTTAAGCCTTGTCTTTGCCTCGATGATGCCAGCCCATGCGTTCCTGTAAACTCGTGCCCACGGTGCCCTGGACGATGACCTGGGTCCTGTCTTACGTTGCCTTCTGCTGTCTTTGCTCCCAGGCAGTAGCGCTTCTCTCCTTTACAGTCTGGYGTGCGTCCTGAGCTGGGGCTGGGAACTGGCACTGCAGTCAAAGGAAGGAGGCATTGTGGAGCTTGGAGATCGCTTAGGAGTCACCCACAAAACAGTAACCGAATCTCAGCTATGACTACTGACAGTTCTACTGATTTATAATTCAGCTGAATCTTCAGGAAAGATTTCAGACTTAAATAATTTGAAGCCCTTTGGTTATTCAACTCTGCTCCTTATCAAAGGTTTTCTGTTAGTTATCATTGCCACTCAGAATGCCTTCTATTTTATTTCATTTTTTAATCCGTAGGGCCTTGTTTTGCCTTTGCTCCATTCATATTAATGTCTTTTGCGATCAAGAATCTTTCTCTTTTACAATGACTTAGACCCCGATCAAGTCACTCTATCATCTTCCCAAACAGTGAGATTAAATTGAGCTGTACTGGGTGTCTCACATAAGGTTTGGCTGTGTCGTGTAGTACTTCTCTGTTGTCTTTCTTTTATCCTTAATGAATGATCAGACTATATCATAGACAGAAGTCAGGGTGAATTAGGCCAACAGTTATCTTTAACCACCAAACTTACAGTGCCATAAAAGGATATGTGGTTCTTTTAATAAGAATCTTCTACTTTTTTTTTTTTTTTTTTTTTTTAACAGGGTACATCCTATATAATTTACACTGTGATTTTGCCAAATCAGTGTTAAATTAACTGGCTTAGAGCCAGCTGGATGATCTCATTTCCTTTTAAAATACATTTTAAATAAAGGTAGTTGCTGATCTTCTGGAACACTCTCAGAACAGTTTCAGAACAAAACAGAGTTGTTTTGAAGAGGAAGCCCATTGCTTCCCTCTGCTTGCCAGACAGCTTAAAGWTGCTCAGCTGTTTCTAGCTACAAAAGTTTTAAGATGTTTTATTTAACAGGCAGACATTCTCCTCAATCTCACTGGCAACAGATAATATTTCATTACTTCTCTCTCCAATTTGTCTATGTCACTCAACTTCCTTCCTAATATAGAATATAATTATGAGCTACTGCCTCTCTTCTGCATCGTTACTGATATTTTATCATTTTTATATCTAGTAAAGGATATATATCATATCTAGGATTTTCTTCTAGCTAATATTTTGCAGATAATATACCTGAGAGCTGCCCAAGTTTAGTAGTACATTTTTAGAACATAGCAGGAAATTGCTTAGTTCTACAATTTCTTATCTATGAGATGGGTACCTGTTCAATCTCCTTACCACAGACTAAGTTTATGTGCATGGTTTCTGGTTTCTGTATAGTGGAGCATCCCCTGCCTTACAAAGTATTAGAGAGATGTGGGGCCGTGGTCCAACAAACATTTCGATTTCATGGAGTGTCTATGTAATGAAAAATGGAAGAAAAGAAATGGTGATTCCAAAGAACTAGAGTCTGTGCCTAGTTTTGCTGCTGAAATAGGGTTTGCGTTTGGAGTGTCTGGACAAAGCTATGAAGGGGGGCCTTTTAAGTCCTGTCTCGTATGCAGAATAGATTACCCAGCTTGGCGGGGGSCATGTGATGCAGGTGACTTGGTGTTTGTGAGAAAGAAGCGTGGGTACCTCTAGTCTTTCCAGGAGAAATACAGAGCAGGGACCTCCGACCTGAGAATGCTGAAGAGTGAGGAGGGTTAAATAGGTACCTCTACAGAAAAAAAAAAAAAAAAGAAAAGAAAAAAGAGAGAAAGGAAAAGGGAAACAAAAAAGATGCTCTGGAGTTTGTGGTATGCATAAAGATTCCTCTAAACTGACAGCCTTCATTTGTAGTCCCTAGACTGCTTTTAAGAGGTCTGTGAAAGGTAATTGAAAAGCTAGAGGCTTGTTACACAGATGTTTATATTTCCAGGGTAAAGGCACAGGCATGTGTAGCTCAATAAAGGCTGAGAACCACTTTTCTGCACCACTCCAGCAGGCTGCCTAGTCTCCCCACCCGAGATGCCCAGGCCTGCGGGGAAGGGCCCCCCGGAGCGAAGCCCTCCTCCAAAGCGCAGCAGGCAGCCGCGGGAGCCGACCGCGACGCGCGCCCACCACCCGGCGCTCCCCCCCACGGCACCCACCTGCGCGCTCGCACTGTGATGYGCGTTCACGCACACGGCAGAAACCTCGGAGTTCAGAAACTGGYTTTTGCTGAATTGCAAGCCTTTCTGATGTCTGCCACATCAGACACGTGTGCTCCCCTCGCTCTCCCATTTGTTTCCAGTTTCACAGTGACAGGTCAGGAGGCTAYGGATCTATCTGTACATTTTTCTCCTACAGCTGGTTCTAGACCAGACGGAGTGGGTCATTCCACCTCAGTAGGTAGTGTTAGTGTTTTGCTGTCCTCAGGGGACTAACACGGGAGTGCCAGGTAGTCCCCTGACTGAACAAGTGATGTCCAAGGAGGCCTGGTTCTTAACAGTGGCTCCATCTAGCCTGGTAGCTCCACGCAGGATTGTTCAGTTCTTTCAGGTTTAGCACATGGAGGGGTAGAGGAAGCAGATGTTGTCAGGCAGGAGCCAGATCCTTCCCCATAATTATGAGTTCAAGGCAATTTATACAAGAATATATTAAGGAAAAAAGTGTATTGAGGCTTAATTGAAACCAGCTGCTTCACAAGGGAACCAGAAAGAATAAGTGTTTTAAGTAATTAAAAAATAAATTATAAATAACCTAAATGCCTACGTGAACAGGCCCAAAGAATATTACATCTTTAAAACACAGTGGGCTTACTAATTAACCAAAGAGCAGAAAGGTGGATAAAATGAATTGGAACTGCTGGAATTATAATAGCTTCTTGRAGTCTTCCATTTCAGGCTGCTAAAACAATCCCTGCAAATAAAGGTCTGGCATACATGGAGATCTGTGGGAGAAAAGYAGGAACCAGCCAGGTCCGTTCTCCTTATGGACTCCAGCAGCAAGGTGCCCGGTATAAAGGAGGCTGAACAAGGCAGGCGAGCGGGCAGGAGAAGGGCAGCTGAAATTCACCCGCGGCCAGGAGCGAACTCGACGCCCCACGACCTCGCAGCACGCTGAGCGGACCTCAGTCTCGCCAGGCGACATCCTGAGCACCCGGGACCCCGGGGGCCCGGGGAACGACGGCGGCGCCCGCGCCGGGACACCGCGCTCGGCCGCGAGCGGGGCCGCCCTGGCGCACAGGGGCCGGCAGCCACACGGCTTTAACCGGTGATTTCACGGCTTTAACCGGTGATTTCACGGCTTTAACCCGCGATTTCTCCGCCTCCGCCGGCGCTGTCAGTGCGCTGAGGCTGCACCCCGCCGCACTCCCGTCACAAGCACCAAGCCCCTCCGGGGCTACGAGGCGGCGGCGGCAGCTGATGGGCGGCAAGGTGATGGCTGATGCGGGTCACCCAGCTACGGCATTACCGCTATTAGCTGTCCCCGGCTAACGTCCGGGCGGCCGTTAGCCGTACGGAGCTCACGCCGCGGCTCTCCAGCCACGGCAGGTAAGGCCGCGGGGGACACAGAGCGCCCCGCGCTGCCCGCGGCAGGGCCCCGTCCCGCTACCAGCGCCCGGGGCCGCTACCAGCGGGCGGGACGAAGCGGGTATTTAGAGCGGAGAGGAGGGAGAGGGAACCGGGCGGCGCGCGACGCGCTCGGCCGCGGGCCCCGGCCCCCGCCGCGCCGCGCCGCGCGGGGGCGGCCCCGAGATGGCGGCCGGAGCGGGGCGGAAGCGCCTACACAGACTGGCGGAAGCGCCTACACAGACTGGCGGAAGCAGGCYCCGCGGCGGGGGAGGGGCTGCTTCCGCGGCGGGCGGGAGCTGCCCGGCGCCCGCTCGGCCCGCCCCGGAAGTGCTGCGTGCGGGGCCCCAAGATGGCGGCCGGGATGTACCTGGAGCACTACCTGGATAGTAAGGGCCGCGCGGGGCGGGGCCGCGGGGCCGGGCCGGGATGAGACGGGCCGGGCCGGGCCGGGCCGGGCCGGGGAGCGCGCAGACGCACGGGATTAGGTGTTCCTGAATAAACGTGTTAACGTGCTCGGCTTCGGCCAGCCGCGCTCTGGTGCACCCGGTTTCCGCCTTTTCCCTGCGCCGCGGCCCTTTGGCACCAGCCGGGCTGGAGACGGGCAGCCCTGGCCGTGCGTGGCCGGGTGGGTGTCCGCTCATCCGCCTGCACCGGCTTGGGAAGTTGGGAGCTTGCGGCTTCCTTCTTAGGAACTTGCTGGTGAAGCCGTTGCGCCGAGGAATGAGGCTGACGCGGCGTGGAAGGGGAAACCGAGGCTTCCTTCCCGCGTACCTTCAGGGCCCCTTTTGTAACTTTGTAGGGAGGGAAAAATGTATGAATTAGTTTAGGAAAGCTCAGGGATCAAAATCCTGRGCAAGAGCCCTGCACTTGAAGGTAAAGGAATGAAAAGGTGGGATTTAGAACCAGAGGGCAGGGAAGAGAAGGATGCAGAACTGAATCCGGGGAGGTGTGGCGGGTACCTCTGCAATAGTGAATGTCCAGCTGGGAAGAGAGGAAGCTGCGGATGAGCCTGGTGGCTGGGGAGCGCTCCCATCAAAGCCAAACACTTCTGGATCCCGTTGCCACTGACAGCTAAATTCTGTGAAGCCCCTGGGAGTGACTCTGTTCCCTCTACGCGGCCTTGCAGGGAAAATCACAGGCTAGTGTTCCCTCGCTCAGCTGGGATCAGTGTTATCCTGCAGCTGAGGGAGTTTCTCATCCTGCTGAATGTGGWTATCCATGTGCTCCTAAGGAGCGTCCTGCATTAGAGTATGTTGGCTTAAAAAATAAAAAAAAAGACCTCATCTTTTCCTGTACACTCTTAGAGCTCCAAAGGCTGTTGTTGATTTACTTGGTCTAGTGTCCTACACACAATATCACTTCTCTTTCTTAACTAATTATAAGACAGTTATGCTTAAGCTACAGTTTACCTTTTAGAAAGGCCAAAAAAAAAAAAAAAAAACCCTTCAGAAAAAAAGGAAGTTTTAGAGAAAAAAAGAAAACTTCTAAAACTTTAGAAAGTTTTTACCTTTTAGAAAGGCCAAAAAAAACCAAAAACCCTTTAGAAAAAAGGAAGTTTTAGAGGAAAAAAAGAAAACTTCTAAAACTTTAGAAAGTTTTTACCTTTTAGAAAAACTGATGCTACATATTTTAATGCTGCTGGTGAAAGAGAATCCATGTCACTCCCTGGTAAGATGGCCTCTTGATTAGGCTTCTCTGTCATGTTATTACRACTTTTGTCTCAAGTGAATTTTCACAATTCTAGTGTGCAGCCATTTCACCTATTTTGGCCTTTAACTGTGAACTGACAACTGTCCCCTCATAAGACGCTTCTTCCCCGAGTACACTGTAATTACTTAAATCTTAATTAAAATTTTTTTTTTGCTACTCTCTTGTGAAATATATTTTTCAAACTTTTTAATTAGCCTTGTTATTCTTTTCTGAGCCTTCTTTAATTTCTTGTCCTGCTTGAACTTCTGGCTCCCTGAAAATATGTGCAGCCCTTTACTGGCGGTCTCCACAGCGCTAGCTAAAGAGGTCCGATTCTCGCTCTTCTCTTGGGCATGCCCTGGCCCTGTCCACACTGTGTTTCAGCTGCAGCCCGTGCCATAACACGCAAGTCTCACTGCTTCCCAGAAAGGTGCTCCAGCATCCTGTGTCCACCACTCCTGTGTGCATTCCTAAATGCACGGTCCTGCAGAAGGCTTCATGGAAAATACCTGTTTCCATTYGGGCTGTGTCTTGCTGTCTTCCTTTTGTTCTCATTTTCCCAGCGTGTGTCTCTTTTACAAGTGAATTCTCCTTTTGTTGGCTCAAGAACTGCCTTATGTGAAATTTGCACAAGCAATGCAGCCCCTTGTAATAGTTCTCCATAATGCGTTCTAAAGCCTTGTTATGTAGCAATTAAAATTTATTTTAATATAGCTCATGTTCTTTTTTTAATTTTTTTTTAATGGAAGATATTTTGTGAGACCAGTTCAAGTATTTGTTATAAGCTGTGCTTTAATATTTTAAAACTTTGGGTTTTTTTCACCGATTAACTTTATAACCTTACCAAAAATAAAATTTAAAGAAAGTTAACTTGGACATTATTTTTTTTCCCACTTAATCTGTATTATGAGTATCATTTAATTCATTTAATTCTTTGAGATGATCTCAGATCAGCTCTTCCATTTTCTTCCCTGAATTCCTGCCCATCTGATAAAATTCAATTTTTCACTTGCTCCTTCCATGCATACCCTCCCCCACCTTTTTTATTTAATGCTAAAATAATGTTCCAAAATTGTTGAAAGTTGATACAAATAAGTAACTTGGGACATTTGGTCACTTCTTTTTAATATTCTAATAGTCTAATTCTAATAGTCTAATATTTTACCTGTTGGAATGAGTTTCCTTTCCACGTGTCAGTGCTAACGCAGACACAAATCTCAGCTGGCTTTCTTTTTCTCCCACAGCATTTCTCTTTCATGCGGGTTACTGGCTGCATCCGCTCAGCGAGTGGTGAGGAGTGTGTGATGAAAGAGGGCAGTTCCTTGTAGATCTCCTCTTCCATTCCTGAAGGAAAGGAGGGTGTAAATTAATTAAGTGAAGATTTTGTAGGAAGAGTAAAGGAAACTCGTGGCTGAGGCAGTCGAATGCTACTTCGACAGAGTGAGTTTAATATTTGCATTCCTAACAGCTGAGCGACGTAGCGTTTGTAGGCATTGCAAGTGGGATGCGTGTAATCAGCTGCCCTTCGTGGCATTAGCCTCTCTACCTCCGGCGTTCCTGTTGCTGGCAAGGGAAGTGGCAACTGCAGAGGYGTGCTGTGAGGAAGCCTTCTGACACGGCAGTGATGGACACCTTGACAGGATGATTGCCAGATCAGGGTTTGGGTGGTGGCTGTATGACCTGCTACTGAACGAAGAGGATAAGGTAAAACATTGAGTCACTGCGCAGTCACTTGGTATGAAAGCCACTCCGTGTGGCAATCTCATGTGCCTGGGCAGTTAAAAAATGTATGTTAAACGTCACAAAAGGTCTGAGAATGCTGCACGTCCAGTTGTTCAGTTCATATCTCTACTTTACACCTCTAAAACTTCTCTTCAGGAGATTCTTGTGGAGTAGCCAAGTTAAGARTGTTTTGCTTAGTAAAGTGTCCAGCAACTTCTTAGCTCTGATATTTCAATAGCTTTCTAGTTTCTGCTGCAGTTAGATACAGGGTTAGACCTAGGATTACCTATGCCCTTGGCTTTGCTCTAAGCTGTTAATTGTGAATGTTTGAAATGACTTCTGACCCTAGCAGGCATTTTTGCAGCAGAAAAATATGRATGTTTCTCATGACATTCCTCCGAGGACGTTCCGAACATGTCCTGTCTAAGCTGGGCACCTCCTCCCTCATAGTGAAGCTGCCACTTTGAGAGCCATCCTGAGCCAAATGATTTCRGGAAACGGAAGAGGAGTGTTTCTTGTTCCAGTTCTTTCTGAATGTTTTTTATTTGAGCCTGTCTCTTTGCTCAGTTCTCATTATTGTCTCAAGGTAAACATGAAAAGACACGCATCTCCTTCTCAAATATTCTCCTTATTCTGGTCTATGGCTCTAAAAGGTCTCTAAACCATTTTATGTCTGCTTCTAAAAGGAGCAAACAGAGGACTTTCACTCATGCTAAGAAAGTCRTGCAAGTTTAGCAAGGGGGAGTCCATGAGTCCAAAGGGTTTATGGAAATGTAGGAGGTAATGAAGGAAAAAGAATAAAGAAGAAATAATAATATTGTGTAATGAGAGACTTCCATGTGCATGACGACTCCTTAGAGGAGTTTGTGCTTTCTCAAATTTGTGTTGCTCTGCTCAGCTCAGTATTTGTTCTCCTGTGGTGTTAGAAATGTGGTGGTGGAGACTTTGAGGAGCCAAGGGAAGAGTGGCTTCTGTAGTTCTTCTAGAGATAAGCCACAAATACTGGGATGTTTTTAGTGTTTGGATGTCTCAAGGATTGTAGAGCGTCCTTGTTGCAGACGTTATTGAATGCATTTAGCAAATAGTCCCAAATACCCTGCAGCAGAAAGTCTGTTTGTGCCTGGAAGTGTCACTGGTGTCACTGGTGTAGAGGTGATCTTTGTCGCGGCGGGGGCTGCTGTGTGTGCGTGTTTGCTGCCACCAGCACTTCCCTGTCTACCCACTGCGGGTGTGGGGACAAGGTAGGGGCACCTGGGGACACCTCACAAACTTACCCTTGAAGGCCCTACAGCTGAGGAATGCACTTCTCTGCAGCTCTCTGGTGCCAGGAGTTGTTATGTGCTGATCTCCTTGCTCACTTTCTTTTTCCCCGTGTGCTGGTGCTGCTGGTGTGTCTGTCCAGTTGCTCAGCAGAGGTGACCACAAAGATCATCTTTATGAATATGTTTTTTGAAGCAGTTAGGTAGCACCTTCTCTGTCGGTTCCCATCACTGTCCATCATACACACTCCTGCAGTCAGATTGCTTTCCTTCTGGAACAGGTACCGCTTGCTGTTCCCGTTGGGATGTGCCTGCCACACTAGAGGGAAATTCAAATGCCCATTGAAGCATATGGTTGAGCTGGTCTGATATTGAATATATTGATGTAAAATGTTAGCAAGTCACGGTGACAAAATAATGATGCCTCCAGCATCCCGCACCCYGAACCTCAGGGACCAGCCAGCCTGTGCTCGCTCCAGCACTGACATTCCTGAACACTCGGGGGAGGCGTCTCCGTAGTGCCGACGGTCTCGGCGCGCTTGGGAGGCCGCGGGATGTCACTGGCCTCTCTACTCGGGTGGCTGCTTGATGCTCCTTACAGTGTCCCTGAGGCCACAGTCAGGCTCTGTTTCGGGAGCAGACRCTAGCACAGATCTGCCCCAGGGAAGAGCAGGATGGAGACAGCGGACTTAGGTGAGGAGTCCTCAGCTGGTGAGTTGACGTGGTATARTGGAGTTAGTGTGTTTGGGGGGATTCCCCCCCTTTTTTATGCCAATCAGGGAGGCATCAAGCGTTCTGTGCTGCATTTGCATTTAATATGGATGAATAATGCATTTAATATGGATGATGGTCTTTTTTTTAAATTTAGTTTTGTTCGTTGGCATTACTGTTGGATCTGATACAACATGGCTTTACGAGACAAAGCGTACTGCGTTTGCCCCGTCTTCACTCACTCACCAGCAAAGCTGATTATTCAGGTAAAGCCCTGCAGTCTCTTTGGTGGTGGTGCCTGCTGCTGTGGCTCGCCAGAGCTACAGGCTGGGAACACCTGCAGTGGTGCAGCTGGAGTTACAGGTCTTGTTGACTCTGCCAGTCTGCCAGATCTCTGGGACTTTGGAAATCAAAGCTGGTTTTTAACCCAGCAATAAAGATCCCTTTCCCAGAAGTGATAGCACTGCTTACTGTGATATTAGTTACTGTCTTGGCTGTGGGTGCTGTGGTATTGAATGCAGGTAACAAGGACGTATCCAAAACATTCCTTCCTCCCCAAGGAAAGGATTAGRAGGAGCATCTCTCCTTCCCTGGAGATCTTCGAAACCTGCCTGGATGCCACCCTGTGCTCTGAGTGTCCCTGCTGGAGCAGGGGGATTGGACTAGAGGATTCCTAGAGGTCCCTTCCAACCTTGGGGACTCTGTGAGGAGGTTTGTGTGGTGACGATGCTGACCGCTGCCGTGCCTGGCCCTTGTTCGTGCGGCGGCGCCTGGGGCAGAGGCCCTTGATGGGCCAGGGTGCGGCGCGGCGCCGTGCRGCCAAGCGCCCCGCTCCTGAGCCGCGCCAGCCTGGGCCCTTCCGGCGCGGGTGGCCGTTCTCCCACTGCAGCAGCACCGTGGCCGAAGGGAGGGTGGGTCACGTTCAGGCTCCAGTTTCAGCAGCTCCGGTTAGGAGGGCCGCGCCGCCGCAGAGGAGCCGTGCAGCGCCGGGAGCACGGCCTCTCCGCGGGGCGAGGGAGAGCACSTTCCTGGCGTTTGCTGCCAGCCAGCGCTTGGTGCTGCAAAGCTCTGAGAACCGYGACGTGCCGAGAGCTGCTGCTGCTCCCTCGCGAGGCCCCGGCCGTCTTCCCATCTCAGGCGGGTGAAGAGCTCTTGTTCTGCCTGCCTGTTGCAAGCAGGATTTCCTTTAATTGCTCTTAGCAACGTGGTTTAAACTCTGTGTGTTTCAGCTGTTGAACTCTGTACTGTTCAATAAAGCAACCACAATTTTGTTTCAAACCATTTCCATGTCTTTGAATGAAATTAAGCGTTCATCTGCCCACGGTAGGTGAGCGGATATCTTGGGAAGGAGGCCGCATCCTTGTGCAGTGCTTGGAGCAGCGAATCTCTAGGGTTCCTGGGTCTTGTCAAAGTACCGAGCCATTGCCCGGCACTATTGAAGGGCAGATGTTGTGGCAGATGTTAGGTGAAAGAGCTAGAACTCGGGGTCTGTGCGATTGCTGAGGGGAGGACGTGCCCTGCGCCTGCAGGGTGGGAAGGGGGGAAGGCARGGCGAGGAAAGGGGAGAATAGAGGGAAATGGGGAGCCTGAAGTGATAAGAACTGGGAAGGGAAGCGGAAGGAAAGTGCCCCCTAGCTTGAGCTAAGGAGTGGAAACAAGGCAGGGCAGGTCGCAGCGCGGCACGAACGAAGCCGCCGCCGGCTCCCAGCGGCTCCCGCTCGGCACCGCGGCCCGCGCGCCACTCGGAGCGGGCGGCTCCGCGGCCTCYTCCTGACCCCCGCGTGGCCTGCGCCGCTCTCTCGCGCAGTGAGGGGTTGGGAGGAGGGGGGTGGTTTTTTCCCTACAGTCCCTTTTGGAATCTAAGAATTACTTGTTTGTTTTCTACAGTATTATATATCTAGTGCTAAGTCAAGAAGAGCCAAGGTGCATCTTTTAAGAGGAAGGAATAAACTAATTCTACAGAGAAAAGGCAAAATGCATGAGGAAACAAAAGTCCATGAATTCCGTGAACAATAATATGACAAGTATTGTTGTCTAGTAGTGTAATATAGGCCAAGCAACCTCAACAGGGTTCTGGCCACTCTGATAAAGTGTTAGGTGGAAAATGTGCCTTTCTAAGGGTCAGCAGCAGCGTTTGGGTTAAGCTGCAAGTGTCAGGAAGCTTCTGAGTGCGTAGGCAAGCGGCTCGCCGTGCGCCTSGTTTGTTGCTTGGTTAGACGTGTCTAGCTGCAGCTTTGTCCTGCTGTGTTTCTGTTCTCGGCAGGCCGTCCAGGGCCCCGTTTGGAGGGAGATGCATCCCGAGCGAGGGTGGGAAAGGAGGAGAGACCCGGAGCTGCCTGAGGGGCTGGGGGGGAGGCCAGGAGATGCTGGGAGCAGAGAAGCTGCGCGCGATAGCGGGAACGGGCCCGAAGGGAGACGCCGGATCAGCTGCGATACGGAGGCCAGGGGAACACGCACGTTGCAGCCGAGGCTCTGTGCTGGCCTTAGGGACACGGGTGGCAGATTTTTAYGGCAGCAGCTGTAAAAGCTGGAGCATGTTCCCTTTGGGCTTCTGCAGCAGGAACAAATCCTGGATGAGGTTTCTCCTGCCGCTAGAAAATTGCTGTGAAACGTGGCAGCAACCTCATGTAGGCCGGTCCCACCCAGAGAAAAGCATCCTGCAGGTCTCTGGGTTTGCTCAGGTATTCTGTTATTGTAAGGATTCTACTCCTGCCGAGGGAAAGTGTGACCATACGTGATGTAATTTATGTTTTTAGTGAGTTTTCTTTATAGAGAAGAAAAAACAAATGACGCCAGTYCTTTTAAAAGGATTGCAAAGTCAAGGATTTACAAGTCAGGGTGTTCTAGAGGTAATAAACTCTGTGTAAATTTGACACAATGCAATGAAAGAAGAGATACTGTTTTCCTCTAGAGAATACCTGTCTCGTCTGCTGCGAGGGAGGAGGGAAAGCCAGGGAGAGGGTGCTGCTGTATGACCCGTGTTGCGTTTGCTGAACAGATTTGAGAGGTTGGCCACCRATGAGTCTGGGGATTGCAGGAAGGAAAAAAGATAAAGGAATGATGTTGTGTTTCCAGAGCTGAATTTCATCCTTGCCATCGGTTTCCCTTKTGAGCAATGAGACTGTGCCTGGAGCTGTTTGCCCTTCTTTTATGAGACGCTTGGCTCAGCCTTAGGGATCTAGTCCGGTAGGCTGCTTCAGCCTTGTAGGGCTCCGTCGYAGTGGGCACATGTGGAAGGGCAGCGTCTAGGGCTGTGCAGGAAGTGTTCTACGGCTGCCTGATTTTTTGAGATGTTGACTGTGTCCCGCTCCCTGCCCTGGCATGCAGGGAAAGGGGCGCAGTGCCTGTGTCGGTGCTGGAGAGGGGGCTCAGGAAGCAGACCTGCTTCTGCTGCGTTTCTGAAGAGCTCTGGCCACTTTAAAAAAAAAAATACCTTTTATTAAAGACTGCGGAGGTTTCTATTCACTCCAAAGATAAGAAGAACCACGCTTGGAGTTCAGGTTCATGTGGTGATGATGGATCTCACGTTGATTATCCAGGTTTCAGCGTGCCGCTTGTTCTGCTGTTTGTTTTTCAGTACTAAACAGGATTCTTAGCTAGATATGCTGGCTGACTTCGTTTTAAATTTGTTTTGCTGCTTCTTTATTTTAGGCCTTTCTTCATGGCAGCAATTTGCCCTTAACTAGTGTGTATCGTAGAAGCGTGCACCTGAATTAAATGTGTCACGTCTCTGTAGTCGGTGTCGTTTAGAGTTGGCAACAGATGGAAACCAACCGTTACGCCCCAGGCAGAGGTGCTGGGAATCGCTAGCCTGATGGATGCGTTTCAGTTGAGTTCCCTTGTCTTTTTGCACTGGCACCCTGGAAACGAAGCTGACTTCTCCCTATATCCTCCCTTCCCTGCAGGCATTGAGAACCTGCCCTTTGAACTGCAGAGAAACTTCCAGCTCATGCGAGATCTGGATCAGCGAACAGAAGGTGAGGGCTGGAGCTGGTTCCGTGGCAAGGCTTGGGAAGCGGGACCAGCTTTTCCTTTGCTTGCCTTCGCCAGGGCCGTCTCGGGGCGTGGGAGCAAGCCTGCAGCTGCCCACGTGTTTGCGTGTCGTCCCACGGGTGCCTGTAGAGCGTGGGTGTCTACTTCTGGCTCCAACTCGTTTCAGACCTCAAGTCCGAGATCGATAAGTTGGCCACAGAGTACATCAGCAACGCACGGACTTTGTCCTCGGAGGAGAAACTGGGGCTTCTCAAGCAGATCCAGGAGGCCTACGGGAAGTGCAAGGAGTTTGGGGATGACAAGGTTCAGCTGGCTATGCAGACCTACGAGATGGTATGAAGGGAAGTGCCTGCCGCTGGTCGTGTGAGGGCTGTGCTAGAATCCCCAGACCTAGAGGGGCCCCTCGCTGTAGGCCCCGCTCCCTCCTGCCTCTCCGCTCCTTGGGAGCCCTGTGCCCGCCCTCCCCGCCCGCTCGGGCTGTGTCCCGCGGTGACTCCTGCCCCGTGGTCGTTGCAGGTGGATAAGCACATCCGGCGGCTGGACACGGACCTGGCCCGCTTCGAGGCTGACCTCAAGGAGAAGCAGATAGAATCGAGTGACTATGACAGTTCTTCCAGCAAGGGCAAGAAGAGTGAGTACGGGGCTGCAGGCTCCTGCAGGAGGCAGGCAAGCTACTGTGTAAGTGGTGGGGGTGAAGGTCGGCACTGGAGGGGCAGGGGTCCGAGACTGCAGTGCTGAAACCTGAAGGATAGGTGAGGAGAAGGTGACCTGAGGTTTTCTGGTGTGAGCACATTCAGCACCGCCAGAGGAAAAAGAGGCAGTRCATGGCCTGAAGTCAGTGCAGAAAGGGAAGTTCTGGTGCCAGAGAAGTTGTTACTGACAATTTTTATTTTTATAGGGTAGTTTATTTAATACCTTCTCCCTTTTTTACCAGAGGGCCGAGCCCAAAAAGAAAAGAAGGCTGCCCGTGCTCGCTCTAAAGGGAAGAACTCTGATGAGGAGGCACCAAAGACTGCCCAGAAGAAGTTAAAGCTTGTCCGCACGTAAGTGATAGGCAGGTTTGGGGGAATGAGGGGCAGCCCTGCGAAGCAGAGCGAGAAAGCACGAGCCTAGGCTTGCCTGTGGAGAACCTGAAATTGGATCCCCACCCAGACTGTATGTCTTGCTATCCCTTCCTTTTTGGGAAACAGGAGTAAGGAGACCTTTCGCTTCTTGCCAAGAAGTGTGGCGAGAAGGGCAAGGCAAGTCGCTGCAGTGGAAGTGAATGTATATTCTAAACAAAAAAGTGCCTGTGGCAAACAGGGGCCTAGTTTTGGGGGACGTGAAGGGTGACTTTGACCTGTTTTCTTCCCGTCCTGCAGTAGCACAGAGTATGGGATGCCTTCCGTGACCTTTGGAAACGTGCATCCTTCAGACGTACTGGATATGCCTGTGGACCCCAACGAGCCGACTTACTGCCTCTGTCACCAGGTCTCCTATGGGGAGATGATCGGCTGCGACAACCCCGATGTAAGTGTCTGCCACCACGAGGGAGGGATCTGCTGCAGAAGGTGCTGCCTGCTTGCGAGGGCCCTGGTGTGGCACGCCGTGCCAATAAGGAGCTCCAGCTCTGACACTGTGGAAGGGCAGAGGAGTCACTTGCCRTGGCCTGCTGAGGGTGACTTTCTACATGGTTTTCCCCAAAATGACAGGCTGTTTCCTTGGCCCCACGCTTAAGAATGGAGGGGAGATTTCCCTATTAGCAGGGTGCAGGCTGGGKATGATTCTTCATACCCTTAGTGATTGTGTAATCTGAGGTCACTGATGAGGTCATTGTATTTAGCAATTTATATGAGATCAAGTGTTGGGAAGTTTGAGTGACCCAGAAATAATGATTTAAAACAAACCCTACCCTAACTTACTGCTCTCCTCCCCAACAGTGTTCCATTGAATGGTTTCATTTTGCCTGTGTGGGTCTGACAACAAAGCCAAGAGGAAAATGGTGAGTGGATGCTGAAAAACACGAACCCTGGAGGGCCCATAGATCTCTGGAAAGGGGAGGTTCTGGGTGGTAGGAGGGCSAATACTGTATACATGCTTAGAAGACCTCTTAAGAAGCAAAATTGGAATTAAGACTTTCTTTGATAAGCTTAGGAAATGTCCTCTGGGGCTGTATGTTGGAGGTTTCTATTGTGCTGTAAATGCTGGCTTTTGTCTTTCCTTTCTGCCAGGTTCTGCCCTCGCTGTTCCCAGGAAAGGAAGAAGAAGTAAAATGCTGCAGACCCTCAGCACTGCTGCAGGAGCTCTCTTCTCCCCTGCCAGGGCCTCGTCACAGCTCCCCCAGCCCTCGGGGCCTTGACTGGGGGGAGTTCTGCCCTGCTTGTGGTTTGGGCCATCCCTGGAATGGTGTGTACTACCCTCATGACAGTTCCTGTGTGTGCTGTATTTCTGGCTGCTTCCAAATTCCTAAGGAAGGACCTCTTTGTGTACTATTCCAAACAGGTCTCTGAACCTCAAAGGGAATGAACCAGGGTAGCCACCAGATTCCCAGGGATTCAGGTAGCCCCTAATTTTCCTTGGCTTTCCTTCAGCCCCCTCAGAGTTCATTGCCCACTCTCTGCTTAGGGAACAAGGCTATGAGGGATGGGGGAAGGAAAGGAGGTAAGTCAGCATTTTAGGTCTCTAATTTTCCTGGATCTTTCTCAGGAAAGAGGGAGTAACCAGGCCACTTCTYTGGCTAGTGGTTTGGTTGAGAGACTGAAAACCTACTGTACTCCCTGTCTATAACCATTCCACTACTGTCTGGCATTGAGCAGCCTCTTTTGGGAAGAGGAGGAGGGAAGAGTGTTCAGAGCTAGCTTTGTCTGTCTTATTCCTTTCCTGGGATAAACCTGCTGGCCTAGGACGCACATTGTGCAAAGGAGGAAGAATTTATGACTGTGTGGGGAGAAATGGATTATCAAGTCTGTCTTCAGGCACCAGAATTCTCCCTTCCTTTTGTGCATTTGGGCTTCTCTGTTCTGTATGTGATGGGAAGTTTGGGAAACCAGATCCCACTGTAAAATACAGAACTAAATAAAGCTCAATGAAGCAAATACTCTGCCTTGCTGTCACCTCTGAAGTAAAGGATGACAATGGGTCTTTTTCAGTTTTTCTTTCTCTGTCAGCACTGCATTGTTCTGAATGATGACTCCACTACAACTTTTCGATGCAACAGTCCTGAAGAGCATTAGTAAGAACGGAGGAAGACTTGTGACATTCTGCCTGAGTCAGGCTGGAAAATATGCCCCAGCCATTTGCCGAAAGGTTACTAAGCTTTCTAGCTTCTGTCAAATGTCTGTCCCTTCAGTGATGTCCCCACCAGAAGGGGAGCATTTGCTGATGTTTTTAATGGATCGCTAACTTCCTCAGTTGTCTCCTCCCAAACAAGAAGGGAAGAGGGTATTAAAGGCCAACCCTCCCTATGGCTGTTGGACAGTGCAGCTGAGAAAAGGAGCCATCAGCTGGTAAACCGCATGCATTGAAGACTGGGGTAGGTCTTTCAGATATCCAGATAATTTGCTCCCTGATGGATCACCTTCGTTTAGATCACKTGGATCAGTATTTCTGTTGTAGTCATAAAGCAGAAGCTCTCATGTTAGGAGTTCCTTATTAAAGCCRTTGAAAAGGCTACGTAGGTGGAGAATCCTGCTGTTCTCACCACGTCATGATGTATGGTACGGGGGATCCTGGCAGCTCAGGAGCTGGTGCTGAGTCTTCTGTTTAAGTGCGTTAGCAATGAGTCATTCTGTGTTTCCTGTTGCCTGTGGAAGGGGCGCTTGGGTTCCTATTTTGAACAGAAAATATCAGTAATAAGCTCTAACTCAGGCTGCTGAGCCCATGCTCTGTGGTACTACTGCCAGAGTCTGGATGCACAGCCCCAC